AAACCTTGTCGAAACGTTGTACATTTGTTGTTATGTTAAACTTATATTAAAGAGTTTCTTCATTACCCATTCAAGCAGTCTCCAACCATTATTAGTCTCAAAGTGGGTTCCTCGTCATCGAAGATCATTCCTTAGTTGCCACTGTGGTAGCCCATTGGGCATCTTGGGTAGTGGAGACCCTACATACATTGAACTTCCTGACTGCCAAAGATTTTGGTGCCAGCACTGGTGATGGTACATGATCGATAGAGTAGTATGTTGTAGATTGCCACCCTGCCATTGGTGGTGGTAATCAGCAAGACTACCATAGCTGTGAGTTGATCCCATGCCCGTAGTCTTGAAGTACCACCCATTCGATTTTTGAATAGATTACAGCTATAAAAACATCTTTCATTACTTTGGGGTGCTGTGGTCCTGCCAGAGATGGGTGCATATGTGGTTGCATTTTCACAAGGTGAATAAACACCCACTGATTGGCAGCTTTTGGTGTCTGGTTGACTACCTTAATTCCTTCTTCACTGGAATTGAAAAATGCATCAGAATATGCTAATTCTGGTACGTCCAAGGTGTTTTTGGCTTGAACAGACGAGTCTACCATTGACGAAGGCTGCCTGACCTTGGGAGACCTTAGGACTATTCCAACAACCAACACAATGAGGTCGCACATGTTACATGCTGTGGCAAGTAATGTATATTCATCTATGGGCTCAGCCACATCAAACATTAGGTCAGCACCAGAAGGCTATAGATCAGATGGGTATACCACATCAACCACAAAATGAAATTCTGGGCATATCATTTCTCCTTGTAACAGTTCTCCATTGCACTGTCAAAAACGTATGAGGAATCATCAACATGGCGAGTGCTTGACAAACTAGTTAAAGAAACATATAGATGGAAGTATCAAGTATTCGATCTTAAATAACAAAATTCCAGATGGAAGATGGAAGGTCAGATGAATTCCAATTAGTCAGAAGATTAGCCATGTGCCTAGGTTGTAAAGAAGGTCGTAGCTGTCTGGTTACAACAATATCCTTCTCTGGAGCTAGCCTTAGAGACAGTGTTCATTTGGTTACCTTGGAAAATTAAAAATTTTTTGAACTACACGTGTGTGCTCATATCCTATTTGCTCATAGTAGATGTATCAGTATTATCTATAAATTTCTTGGTCTCAAGTATTCATTGGATTTTCTCTTGACCAATATCTATGGCTGTGCTGCCCTTTGTTTCAATTCTCGAGACAATTGGCAAAATAGTTTCCGCTTTAACCCAAAACCATTCCATCCAATACCATCTGGTTATTACTTATATAGAGCCTGGGAACAGTTGAAAAAAAAGAGTTAAGTTTGCAAAACTGACTCAGATTAACAGATGCCAACCTATAATTCGGATATTTAAAATACACTAATGTTTTCATCATGTCTCCCTTATGACTTTCTTCCAAATACAAGTTAAGTAATAGCTAGGGGCAATTTTCAGAGTTTCACCATGAAAGTGTTACTTTTCGCCCCTGGTAGAATATTTACAACCTACATTTACAGATATCTTTAATCGAATGTTGGTGTACTTTGGTGACAGATTTTCTTGTAGGCAGATTTTGTTAAACAAGACCGATGTCTGTAGGTTTACTTTCTTCTTAGAATTCTTCTCAAGAAGTCGATAAGCCGTCTTAACGTTGTTAGAACAACGGGTAAAAGTTGTAGATAGCAATGAGTTGGCCGACGCGTTTTGAATGCATTCTGCATCCATTATCAAAGCTGAATGTTGTGTGAATAGTGATTACTGTTGGTGGATATTTATAGGTATGGGTAAGCAGACGAACGGATTCTAAAGGATATCGTTTACAAAAATACTACACCAAAGAAACAGAACACAAAACTGCAACTCAACA